TTTAACAATAATAATAATAATAATAATACTGTAAGTACAGTATAAAAAGAGCAATATTATTAAGCTTTGCAGTGGTCCCTTAGCAGCCACAAAACTGTTGATCCTAAACAGGCCTCTTTTTTGTAGCTTTACTATTTCTGTCAATGCAAGAAATGAGTAACCTTCTGGCATCTAAAATAATGTCGCAAGCTAAACTCTTCTGCTTTCAGTTTCAAAAACCGTTTGATTCTGATGATTACTAAACCATGAAAGCATGGCCTTTTCTCTGGCATTTTCCTTTCCTTCAGCCAAAATAAAAGGGCAGAAAAGGGAGGTTATTCACTCAACATAAAGAAAGTCATTTATGTAAAATTAGGGAAAGGAACCATTTATCCCATTCGTTTTCCTCATCTAAGAATGCATTGAACCATGAACTCATATTGTAAAACACTATCTGGGCATCTTTTCCACTAAATGTTTTTAATCTGATTTGTAGATGTTTTCAAGGAGGGCTTCTAGGAGCCCCTCTTGTGACTTAATGAACAGAAATCCCAAGGATACCAACAAAAATATTGATTTCAGCTTGCTAAGAAGAAAAGTCCTAGTGTGCCATTGCGGGTTAATGCACTGGACTGCAACATCCATTTGAACTGCAAGGTCCGTGGTTCAAGCTCACCAGGCACTCCTTGGAAACCCTGTACAGGATTGCTATGAGTCAGAACCGACTCAACAGCACTTAACAACAACAGCAGCAGCAAGAAAAAAAAATATGGCACTGATGAATAAAATATGGCATCACACTGTCCGATAAACACTGGACTCCGAACCTGAAGTCAATAGTTCAAACCCAGCAGCCTCTCCTCAAAAATCCTATGTAGGGTCAGTAGTACAGTCAGAACCAACTCAGTGACACTTAATAACAACTTACCAAGGTCGACAGTTGACCACTGAATCAATAGCACTTAACAATAAACAACAACAACAATGTGTTTAAACCATCCTCATTTTTTCTTAATGGTAGCAAGAATAATGTCTTTGTTGTGCGGGCACATTTGAACAGCACAATGTGATAGGACAGTGACATCTAGTGGTGGGCCTTTTGAAGTGTCTTGAGAGAAAAAAGGCTTCACAGATTTCTGTCCTCTTGATTCTTTTCTTGCAGTTCCTCTTACACATGCATTACCTTAGCAGCTTTCCAAGTCCTGGTTTACAGACTTTGTTATGTCCAGAATGGAGATGCCAAGAAAATCAGCAATAAAGAAATAGTATCCAAGAAGTTATCTAGTCTTCTTTTCATATGGAATCACATCAATAATCATAGTGACTAATGTTTGGTTTTGGTACTGAATTAATAAAAATACTGTATAGTGCAGTCAGTGTTGGTGTCCGCCAGTGTTAAGGTCTGAAACTGTTTATAAATTTAGTGATGATGTATATTCAGGAGCCCTGGTAGCATAGTGGGTTTCTCATTGGGCTGCTAACCACAAGATCAGCAGTTCAAATCTACCAGCTATTCCACCAGAGGTAAAGATTTACAGCCTCAGAAACCTTACATAGGGTTGCTATGAGTCAGAATCAACTAGATGGCATTAGGTTTGATTTTTTGGTTTGATATATCTAGAGTGATATATTGCCATACATATATGGCAATGTATATGCAAGGAAGCCATCGTAAGTATTGGTACTTCTAGTTTACAAATTAGACCTCTCAACTGAATAACAAAAACCCAAACTTGTTGCCATTCAGTCATTTCTGACCCCTAGTGACCCTGTTGGACTGAGTAGAACTGCCCCATCAGGTTTACGAGGCTGTACATCTTTATGGAAACAGACTGCCACATCTTTCTCCTGTGGAGTAGCTGGTGGATTCGAACCACTGACCTTTCGATTAGCAGCCAAGCACTTAACCACTATGCCACCAAGAATCCCTCTAAAGGGATTAAAACGTAAATTTTTTGTGTAAATACATCTTGACTGAACATAAAAGCAAAATATCTGTAAAAGTAAATCGTTCTTTAGAGATACTAATATTTTTGTTAAAAGGAGAATGTTACTGCAATTTTTAATTAATGTCTTTCAGTGATTCCATATAGGTCAGTGATCATCCCAATCAAAAAGTTGAGCAATGCGATCATCACATCTAACCCTTGGATTTGTGTGGCAGGAGAGCTGGGAGATACAGGAGTAATGCAGATTCCAAAAAACCTCCTTGAAATGACTTTTGAGGTAGGTTTTAACTATAAAAACCTTCTTAGCAAAACATGTCAAATAGTTTTCTACAGAGGCTGTTTTTTGTTTTTTTGTTTTTTTAATTAAATAATAAAAAGGAACACTCACACAGGCCAGATCAGTTTTGTGACTGTATACTTAAAGTTATCTTAAGCAGTTTACTCTCAGTTGTATTTTTATTATTAAAACTCTGTTTTTATATTTGTAAGACTAAGGTGTTTGGGGACTTTGCCAGACCCTGTTTTATGATTCCCAGTTCTTTGCACACTTAATTATGCTCTACTTTGTCTTCTCGGACTGCCTTTACAATTTTTCTATTCATCTATTTTACTTTATTACTTTTTCCAGTCACTTCAGCTTCTCTTTGTGCATTTTGATCCTTTCTTTCCATACTGTCTTTTTAATGACCTTTCGCTTTCTTCCATTATGATATTTTTGATGTCATACCACAACTCTTGGTCTTTGGTTATTAGTGTCTAATGCATCAGATCTATTCTTCAGATGGCCTTTAATTCATGTGGGATATATTCAAGATCATATTTTGGCACTTGGGGACTTGTTTTCATTTTCTTTAGCATAAACCTGAACTTACATTTGAACAATTGATGGGTCTGTTCTGCAGTCACCTCTGGCCTTGTTTTGACTGGTATTAAGCTTTTCCATTGATTTGATCCCTGTGTTTTCCAGATGATGAGGTCAACATGTATGTTGGTGTTGTTGTTAGGTGCCATCAAGTTGGTATCGACACACGACACATAGTAACCGTATGCACAACAGAACGGAATACTGCCAAGTCCTGTGCTAACCTCACAATCGCTGCCACACTTGAGCCCATTGCTGCTGCCACTGTGCCATTACGGGTCTTCCTCTATAATTTGCTGACTGACCCTCTTTACCAAGCATGATTTCCTTCTCCAGGAACTGGTACCTCTTGATAATATGTCCAAAGTATGAGAGATGAAGTCTGGCCGTCTTGGCTTCTAAGGAGCATTTTGGTTGTACTTCCACCAATACAGATTTATTTGTTCTTTTGACAATCCATGGTACAAAATATTCTCTTCCAGCCCTGTAACTCAAATGCATTAGTTCTTCTACAGTCTTCTTTATTCATTGTCCAACTTTCATATGCAGTTGAGGTTATTGAAAATACCATGGCTTGTGTAAGGCGTACCTTAGTCCTCAAACAGACAATGTTGCTCTTCAACACTTTAAAGAGGTCTTGTGCAGCAAATTTGCCTAATGTAGTATGTTGTTTAATTTCTTGACTGCCGCTTCCATGAGTGTTGATGGTTGATCCAAGCAAAATAAAGTAATTCAAAACTTCACTCTTTTCTCCATTTATCTTGATGTTATGTATTGGTCCAGTGGTGAGGACTTTTGTTTTCTTTACATTGAGGTGGCAACCACATGGAAGACTGTGGTCTTTGATCTTCATCAGTAAGTTTTTGAAGTCCTCTTCACTTTAAGCAAGCAAGATTGTATCATCTGCATATCACAGATTGTTAATGAGTCATCCTCCAATCCTGATGCCACATTTTTTTCCATATAACCCAGCTTTCTGAATTACTTGCTCAACGTACAAATTGAATAAATATGGCAAAAGAAAACAACCCTTGTACATACCTTTCCTGATTTTAAATCACTCAGTGTCCCCTTGTTCTGTTCAAACAACTGCCTCTTGTTCTATGTACAAGTCCCTCAAGAGCACAATTAAGTGTTCTGAAATGCTCATTCTCCTCAATGTTATCCATAGCTAGTCATGATCCACACAATAAAAAGCCTTTGCATAATCAGTAAAGCACAGGTAAACATCTTTCTGATATTCTCTGCTTTCAGCCAACATCCATCTGACATCAGCAATGATATCCTTCATTGCATGTTCTCATCTGAATCTGGCTTGATTCAGATTGATTCAGAATCAGTTCTCTGTCAATGTACTGTTGTAGACATTTTTTCTTATCTTTAGCAAAACTTTACTTGCATGTGATAGTTACCATATTGTCCGATAATTTACACATTCCGTTGGGTTACCTGTCCTTGGAATGATCACAAATATGGATCTCTTCCTATCAGTTGGCCAGGTAGCTATCTTCCAAATTTCTTGGCATAGATGAGTGAGTGCCTCCAGTACTGCAACAGTTTGTTAAAATACTTCAATTTGTATTCCATCCATTCCTGGAGGCTTGTTGTTTGCTAATGCCTTCAGTGCACCTTGGACTTTTTCTTCAGTATCATTTCTCAAGCTGAAGAACCTGAATAAAAATATTCAAGCCTCAACATGAAATATTGAAGGATTCTATGTGAACATTTTTTAATGATGCAGAAAGCATCAGAAGAAGATGGAAGGAACACACAGAGTCACTGTACCAAAGAGAAATGACCGATGGCCAACCATTTCAAGAGATAGCATATGATCAAGAGCCAATGATACTAAAGGAAGAAGTCAACCTATATGGTGTTGTTGTTGTTAAGTGCCGTTGAGTCAGTTCTGACCCATAGCAACCCTATATAGGGTTTCCAAGGAGTGGCTGGTGAGCTTGAACCACCGGCCTTATGGTTCAGACGACTTTGCAGTCCAGCACATTAGCCCACAGCACAACACCAGGACTCCTCAACATGTGTAGTTGTTGTTTATGTTGTTTAGAAAATATATTTGCAATGAATAAATCATTGGTCATGCAAAATTCTATCATGCAATCTCCATCATCGCTTTTATCACCAAGACCATATTTTCCAACTGCTGGTCCTTCCTCTGTTTCCAACTTGTTTCCAATCACCAGTAATTATCAATACATCTTGATTGCATTTTTTTTTATCAGTTTCAGACTGAGGAGATTGGTAGGATTCTTCAATTTTGTCATCAATGTTTTAATGGTTGGTACATAAGTTTGCATAATAATGGTATTAACTGGACTTCCTTATAGATGTATAGATATTATCTTACCACAGACATCGTCAAGCTAGATCTTGAGATGCTCTTTTTTACGACGAATGCGATACCATTCATACCTCTTCAACTTGTCTTTCCCGGCATAATAAACTATATGATTGTCCAATTCAAAATACCAGTCCATTTCAGCTCACTAACGCCTAGGATATTGATCTTTATATGTTCTATTTCATTTGTTGATGACTTCCACTTTTCCTGAAGTCATACTTTGTACATTCCACATTTCAATTTTAATGGATGTTCACAGTTTCTTTTCACTTTGAGTTGTGCCCCTTCATTAGATGAAGGTCCTAGAAGCTTTACTCTATCTACGTGGATAAGGTGAATTGTACTTTCAGGAGGTAGCACTTCCCCAGTCATATTTTGAGTGCGTTCTAACCTAAGGGGTTCATTTTCCAAGATATATAATTGGAGTTTATGATCTTTTGGAATCCTCGTGTGGTGTTGCGGGTTAATGCACTGTAATGCAAAGTCAGTTTGAACCGCAAGGTGGGTGGTTCAAGCTCATCAGCCACTCATCATAAACCCTATTCAGGATTGCTGTGAGTCAAAACTGACTCAACAGAATTTAACAACAACAGTGGTGGTTTAATTTTCAGAATTTAAAAGTCAGGATTTTGTTGAACTTTGTTTTTCCTGGAATGCTTATTATTATTACTTCGTTTTGTACTTGTCCACAAAAGGGCTAGTAGGGGCATTGATAGCTCTACTTTTTTTTTGCCATAGGTACTAGTAGATGAGGTGTGAGGTCACTTCTACCTTAGTATTTTATTGTTGTTGGTATTGTTAAGTGCTGTTGAATTGGTTCTAACTCATAGCCACCCTTTATAGGATTTTCAAGGAGCAGCTGATGAGTTTGAACCACCAACTTCGAGGTTCAAACCAACCTTGTGATTGTGTGCTTATCCTATAGCAGCACCACAAGACTCCCAGTATTTTATTAGGAACAGAAAAATATCAATGTCTATAATATTTCCTGGTATGGTGCTGTAGGATAAGTACTGAACTACTAACAGTAAGGTTGGTGGTTTAAACCCACTAGCCACTCCTTAGAAACACTATACAGGGTCCTTCTTGGAAGCTATGAGTCAGACCTAACTCAACAGCACTTAAAAATAACAGCAAAAACAGATATTTTACTGATTTCTGTAACTGAATCTAAATAGTGTCATCCTTTGCCCACCTCTTGAAATTCTTCTTGTCCCTCAAGCTGTAGATCATGTCTCTGTGTTGTCCCTGGGTCCCCCTGTTAGAATTGTTGCTTCCTAAGTGTCCTTTGTAGCACTGTTTACATCCCTACTGCAGCATATTGTGTAGTCCAGTTCCTTTAATAGTTAATATTCATATGTCTCCTATATTGTTACATTAAGGCTTCCTGAGAGCAGGAAGCTTGTGTGAATAACTTTGCTGATGTATATAGTGGTAGCCCTTAGGCAGGGTAGGTCTTCTACTGTTGTTTTTTATCAGAAAAAATCAAAGTATCCTGCCAACACTGAGCTGCAGTAGGCTGGAAATGGATATTGAATAACCTGTGGTCCATTCCCTGCAGTGTCAGAACTTGGGGAAGCTGACCACTGTGCAGATTGGTCATGACAACTCAGGACTGTTAGCCAAATGGCTAGTGGATTGTGTCATGGTCAGAAATGAAATCACAGGACATACCTACAGGTAAGTAAATGTCCTTGGAAGCTCAGAATTCTTTGAGATTCTTTAGATTAAAAAAAGCTCTGAGAATTATTTGTTTTCTTCCTAAAGCTTTCCTACTGACTTCTGAATTTTAGGTTTTTGGTTGTCTGTTTGTTAATGTAAATTTTAATTGCCAAAATTGTAATTAAAAAAAAAAGACTGTGCTGCTAATGCTTATTAGTTTAGAAGTTTACAAAGATTGGTAGGTATAATGCTGATAAAAATAGGAAAATGAAGCTTAAAGGTTTACATGAAAGGAAAGGATCGCTTGTATTCTCCTAGTTATAGTCAGCACTCTTCTGTGAGAGCATTACTCTCATTCTCTCTCAAACTTAACTCCTACATTAATTTCTAGTGTGAAAATATTCTCCCCAAAACTAACAACAGAATTTTAATACATATTGCTGCTGTGCATCATGGAGTTGATTCTGACTCAGCAACCCTGTATAGAGTTTTCAAGGCTGTAAATCTTTACGAAAGCAGAAAGCCTCACCTTTCGCACGTGGAATAACTGGTAGACTTGAGCTGCTTACCTGTGGTTAATAGCTCAGCTTGTAACCCACTAGGCAACCATGGCCCCTTTTTGAGTATACACTGTTGTTATTAAGTGCCATGAAGTCAGTTCTGATTCAGAGAGACCCTCTATAGGGTTTCTGAGGAGCAGCTGGTAGGTTTGAACCTACTGGTTCAAACCGAACTTGTACTCCAGTGCATTATCCTGTAGCACCACACCCAGGCTCACTAAGCATGAGAAAATATTTTTAAATTATTTTTATGTTTGTTGTATGTGGTGACCTCTGTGGCAACGTAAGAGAATATATTTGCTTTTTAAAGATTCCTACTACAGAATTCTTAAGAGTGACATGTGGTATTTGTAATTTACTTTGAAATACTTTTAAAATTTGTTGCTAAGTCATTTCTGACTCACAGCGACCCTGCATAGCGTTTCCAAGGAGCAGCTGGTGAGTTTGAACCACCAATCTTTTGGTTCAAACCAACTGTGCAGTCAAGTTCTTTATCTTACAGCACCACACCAGGACTCCACTTTTAAATTTTAGAAAATTTGGAAAATACTAAATGTAGGTAATAAGAATATGAATGTATATTATACTGTTCTCACCACATATCTATGTGTTTGAAATTTTCCTTAGTTAAAATAACAACCCACTATCACTTAAAATTATGGGTTATACTCATGGTTTTTGGTGTTTTGGGTTTTTGTTTTTGCTTTTCGTTGTTGTTTAATTCTGAGAAAATCTCGTTTAAAAAAATGGTGACTCAGAAGTTTTTCTATCCTACTAGGTTCCCATGTGGACGATGGCTGGGGAAGGGTATTGATGATGGAAGCCTGGAGAGAATTCTCATCGGGGAATTGATGCCCTCTGCATCAGATGAGGACTTGGCAAAGCAGTGTCGGACTCCACCCCAGCAGAAATCACCCACCTCAGCTAGGAGATTAAGCATTACTTCACTGACAGGAAAAACTAGCAGTAAGTAGTTTATCTTTCAATTGTGCCTCAGATGTTGCAGTTCACATAGGAACTGTTATATTGACGAAGTGTGATAGGAGATTAAAAAGAAGAAAATTGAGGAAAATTAATTTGGGAGAAGGAGCTTTAAAAACAAAAGAGAGAATAAAGAGAAAAAATAAAGATAAAGCATTAAACAAATAATCAAAGCCTGAAAATTTTGAGATATTAAAATCTCAAAACACTGAATGCTAAGTTTTAATCAAGCTGTGGAAATATGAATAAAGAATTTACCTGAAATTTAACAGAGTAGTAATAAAGATGGGGAGTCCTAGTGTGGCACTGTGGGCGTCAGACTGCAAAGTCGTTTGAACTGCAAGGTCAGTGGTTCATGCTCACCGGCTGCTCCTTGGAAACCCTATAAAAGGTCACTATGGTTCAGAATTGACTCAAAGGCATTTTAACAACAACAATAAAGATGGTCTCCTGTTATGACACTGAGCTGCTAACCACAAGGTAAGTGGTTCAGACCCACCAGCCACTCCTCAGTACCAGGTCTTTTTTCCATGGAACTGCTAAGAGGATTAGAACAGCCAACCTGTCAATCAGCTAAACACTTTACCATTGTGCCACTAGGTTTCATTTCTCTTGTTTGTAAATAGGGTCTTTGAAATGTTTTCAGTTCACATGAAGTTACACTGGAGTAGGGTAGGACCTAAGGCCATCTGCATGAGGTCCTTATAAAATAGGAGGAAAATCACCTAGAGTCAGACATCAATCTAAACCAACAACATGAGTATATGTCTGCAAACGGCAGAGCATACAGAAAGGCCTGGCCTCCCAGAAACCAGAATGACAAGAAAGGATCCTCTCCTAGAGCTTTTAGAGGGAACAGGTCCTGCAGACACCTGTTCTGTGAGAAACATTTGGATGATGTGAGAAACATTGCCCATACTGACAAACACTGAAGTAATCCAATCTGTACTCATTTTAAAGAGAGTGAGGCTTTTTTAATTCAATTTTGCAAAATCAGGAGCTGCATGACCAGCCTGCAAACAGTTTTATTCCCCTGTCTCAAAAAAGTCCCTCCTCCAGTTCCAGTTCCCCATTCACAGTTCTACCCAGTACCTCCCATTTACCCTCTCCCTAGAGAAACCAAAATGGCTCACCCATGGTCTTAATGACTGTATCCTTATTTAAAGTTTCTAGTCCTAGAACAGATTTCTTTTCTCCCTTTCCCCAATTCATCCTGCTTACCTATTCCTGGGTGTGAATCAACAATCTGTGTCTAACAATCTCATGGGCTTTTTTATTCCTGAAGGTGGACCCTGCCCACAAGAATTATTTCTCACAGATTACTAGCCTCCAAACTGGGAGAGAGAATACATTTCTCTTCTTATAAGGCACCCAATTTGTGCTATTTTGTTACAGCAATCTTAAAAACTAATATACCTGCCCCCTTAGTTCATAAGAATAAAATCACAAAATACTATAAAGGAATTAATTTTATGGATAGACTATCTTGTTCACATGCCACCATCAGTAGTATAGAACCCAAACCAAATCTACTGCCAATGAGTCTACTCCAATTCATAGTGACCCTGCATAGGGTTTCCAAGGCGATAAATCTTTTCAGAACCAGAGATCCTCATCTTTCTGCTGAGGAGCAACTGGAGGGTTTGAACAACCAACGTTGTGGTTAGTCGCCCAGTGCTATCCTACAGCATCACCAGTATACCTCTAATTTATACTAACGTTTAGTAGACAGATTAGTGTCTCCAAAGATAATAGTTCATAATTCCTGGAACCTATAAATGTAGTATTACCTTATTTAGAAAAAAAGGTCTTTGCAGATATGATTCATTAAGGGACTGGAGATGAACAGATTAGTCTGGATTATCCAGATGGACCCTATATGCAGTCACATATATCCTTATAAGAGGGTGAGTAGACATACAAACAGAGAAGATGATGTGGAAACAAATTGCAGTGATATGGCACCAAGTCAAGGAATGCCAGCAGCCACAGAGCTGGAAAAAGGCAAGTATCAGCTTTCCCACTAAAGCCTCTTATCAGAGTGCAGTCCTGCTGACACCTTGATTTTGGTCTAGTGATACTGATTTCTGATGATGGCCTCCAGAACTGTTAGAGAATAAACTTCATCATTTTAAGCCACCTGTTTGTGGTATTTTGTAACAGCAGCTGTAGGAAACTAATATAGATACAGTATATAATTAATGAAAAACATTATAAAAGTTTATCAAGAAAGTAGATTTATTTGAGATATATAGATAGTTGTCATAGTAGAATAACAAAAGGCACCTAATAGAAGCCCCTTAGCTTAGTAACAAAACATTTCCCTAAATATTATTCATTTCTATTAATTTGTTAGCGCATGCTATGAAATAGGATGAAGTAGTCTAAAAATGTTTCTTTCTTTCTCAAACTATATCCTTAATCCATTATTCCTTTCTGCTTTCAAAAGTTAACTTCATTCCACACACCCACTGGAATGACAAAAAGGCTGATAATACTAACTAAATATTGTTAAGAGTGGATATGTTCAGACATTACCAGTGATAATGCAAAATTGAAAAAATTTGGCAGTTTTTTTGTTTTCAAAATAGATGCACACTTTCTATGCACTTAAGCCCGCAGTCCCATTCCTAGATGTTAACCCAAGAGAAGTGAAAACATGTGTCTGCACAAAGACTTGTTCTCAGTCATTCACAACAGATTCATTCACAATACCCAAAAATGGAAACAGCTCTGATATCCATCAAATGATGAATGGTTAAGCAGGTTTTATTCAACAGTATAGAAATATGAAGGAACTACTAATACAGTCCAACAACATGGATGAATCTCAAAAACATTATGCTAAATGTAAGACGGATTCCTGGTGTGACGCAGTGGTTAATGCACCAGACTGAAAAATCTTTTGAACTACAAGGTCAGTGGGTCACCAGCTGCTCCTCAGAAACCCGATACAGGGTCGCTATGGATTGGAACCAACTTGACGGCACTTCACAACAACAATAACAGGTGTAAGAAACCAGACACATAAACTACATGTTAATATGATTTCATTTATATGAAATTCAAGAAAAGTGTTAGAAAGTCATCATTGGTTTCTAGGTGCAGAGAACCAGTGGAGGGATTGACTAAAAAGGTACTTGAGAGAATTTCTGAGTTGATGGAAATGATGTAACATGATTGTGTTGTTTTTAAGTGCCGTCACATCAGTGCTATCAAGTCAGTTCCAACTCAGCAACCCTGCGAAAGGTTTCTGAGGAATGGCTAGTGAGTTTGAACCCCCGACCCTGCTCTCCAGTGCTTTATCCCACAGTGCCACACAAGGTGGTGGTTATATGCCAAACTCATCAAATTATACATTTAAAATTCAAACCTTAATTATGCTGATTTCTTTTAAATTATGCTGATTTCTTTTAAAAGTTATTCTTTGAATCATTCTAATTGCATGGGATATCACTGTAATGAGGCCTTATCCTCCATTTTGGTCTTAATTTCTTTCCTTACTCAGTAAGCAGAAGACATTCAGAAATCTGAGACTCAGAGATGGCTAGCTTGCTATTTCTCACAGTGTGTGCAGGCTGATGTTCATAAAATGCAAAAATTTCAATCAGCTTGAAAATTCTACTGGGATGAGTAAAAGTTTTCAAAATAGATCTTGTTGTTTACAAGAGAAAACAATATTTACAGAAAAAATAAAATAAGTTCCTACTAGGAATTGAATAGGCCACAGTATCAGCTCTTCAGTCATAAGAGGGTTCCATTTTAATAATTTTTATGCATGAGTGTAGACAAAGTTATTTGACTTTTACCTGAAGAATTGTTTTATATAAGAAATTCTGTATCAGTATTAATTAAAAGAAATTTTTTATTTAATCACCACAAGAAGATACCAAAACATGTCATCGTTTTCATCTTACATATTTTTTTATCCCAGATGAAACCTGAGTTTACCACTTTTTTTTGGTCTTAATTTTTTAATTGTGAAGGAAATGAAGACTTACAGAAGAGATCATCAGTTTTACATTCAACAAGTCATATACTTTGCTTCATTATGATGGTTACCGTACCCTCTGTGTACCCTTAGTTAACAGTATTTACCTTTGTTCACTTTACCTTTTGTATTCCTACCTGTGTCTTCCGCTACCTGTATTTTCTTTCTGCCAACCTCTCCCTCTTGTTGTATATTACCTTCCCCATCACCCAAATTCCTATGTGTGCACTCTAGCCAGTAAATAATATTCCCTTTCCTCGCATCCCATCACCTTTTGTTTTTTTCTTTAACTATCCTTGAGACTTGAGAAGCAAGGTGATTTTGGGGTCCCATAGAAGCAGCCCACTGAATCCTCCTTCAGTCAGGAAAGGGGCCTACAAGAGCAGGTGCTGGATGCCAGGATGAAGCAGTACTTAGGCAGCTAGCAGGGGCCGGGACCTGGGCTTTGGAATGGAGTTTCTTAGTATACCCAACTTAAACATAAAAGCATTAACTCCAGGTGAGCCATTGGGAGCTTCAGGAGATTGGGCCTTTGCCCAATATAAGGAAGTGTCTGAAAAGAGATATACTGCAGGTCTTCGCCACCTCCTTCCTCACATCTGGGGACTTGCAAGCACTTTGTGACAAGCCCCATGACAGGTGATTGACATATTTTTTTCGCAGTGACTTCGTGAGGTGTGTATTTTATTATAAATACCATTGAAGAAACTCAAACTTGGAGAAAGTCAGACACTTAGCCAAGGTTTTTGATTGTAAGTGCTAAGACTGGGATGTGAACCTAGGGGTCTCAGATGTTTTCCACTGTGCAGATGCCTTCCATTTGACCAAACTGTACAAGGGCAAGCATCATGGAGCCTCTGACAAAACCAGCATGCTCTGACGGAGTGTTCCTTGGTTACCATTCACACAACAGATATTTATAGTGTCCACTATATTCTACTCACTATTCTAAATGTTTGGGATCTACATCAGTGGACACAGTTTATAACCCATAGGTACTGTGATTTCTTCTTCTCACAAGAGAATTCAAGCACTGTTCATTATCTTACAGAGCCTAACACTGGACAGATCCAAGAAGGAATTGGAGAAGCTGTGAACAATATTGTGAAACATTTTCACAAACCTGAGAAAGAGGTAGCATGCACTATAAAACTTGTCATGGTGGGACTTTTAAGGCCACTTTCATATGTAATGCTTAGGCAGTAAGGGTACTTTAATTTATAAGTCTTCTAATAGCCATGAAAGTATGTTCCTTTATAAAGTTACCCTCAGCACTGTGTCTCTGGTGTTTTTCTTAGACAGACACAGCAAATTATTCTTCAGCACTGTTATGTTATGTCCCACAGAGAGGAAGCCTCACAGTATTGCTTTGTGGAGAAAATGGCCTGGTTGCAGCACTTGAGCAAGTTTTCCACCACGGGTTCAAATCCGCCCGCATCTTTCACAAGAATGTCTTCATCTGGGACTTTATAGGTAAAAGGCACCTAACAACAACAAAGCAAATGTTTGTTATTTTTAGATCACTGAATGTTTTTTAGAAAACTGAAAGACCTAGGAATATGAGTGAATGAGGGAGATATGTTTTTAAAAATAAGTATCAAATTAGCACTGTTCTTAGTTATCATTCATGCAACAGATATTTATAGTGTCCGTAATAGTCCATACAGTATTATAAATGCTTGGGATATACATCAGTGAACAAAACAGACAAAAATTCCTATGATTGACAAACTTACATTCTGGTGGGGATGAGAGGGAGACCAAACAGTACATATCACAAATACATAATTTATTTGGTATGCTGGAAGGTGATCACTGATTTCAAAAAAAATAGAGGTGGGTAAAAGAAAATGGTAGGGGTCCCTGGGTGGTGCAAACAGCTAACACTCTCAGCTGCTAATCAAAAGAGAGGAGGTTCAAGTCTACCTAGAGGTGCCTTGTAAGAAAGGCCTGGAGATACGCTTGCTTCTGAAAAACCTATGGACTTCAGCTCTGCTCTCACATGGGACTGCCATGAGGCAGAGTCAGCTCAGTGGTAACTAAAGAACTGGGGGAAGGAAATCAAGTGGGGAGTGTACTTTGAAATAGGGTAGTTACAGGTTTTGATGAGAAGATGACATTTGAGCAGAGTATTTAAGGAGGTTGAGGGAGGGGGTCAGATGGATTGACATCTGGTAAAAGGTTACCACAGGCCTGGAGTGCAGTCTAGATTAGAAAATATATAAAGCATGTAATTCCACTAAGAACCATGGACCTCTGGAATGAAATCTGAAGCCAGTGATAAAGCAAAGCTTTGGCTTCAGAACTGACCATATGCAAAATACTGTTAGCATTCTCAGGGGTAAACTGAATGGTAAATCTTTGTATATATGAACTGTTGATGTATGTTATGCTATGATTCTGACTTCCTTCCTCAGAGAGAGCTGTTGCTTATTTTGAAACCACTGACCAGATTCTAGACAATGAAGATGATGTCCTTCTTCAGAAATCATCCTGTAAAACCTTCTGCCACTATGTGCACGCTATTAATACAGCACCCAGGAATATTGGAAAGGACGGCAAGTTCCAGATTTTAGTATGCCTCGGAACACGGTAAAAAGCCAGTTGTTGACGTTCTCAGTCTTTTTGTTGTTGTTGTTGTTGAACAGAAGTCCAGAAGGGTTATCCTACATCATGTGCCTTATAAAGATTTTCCGTGAATTTCTTTCATTCCAAGTTTCATGAGACTAATATTCATTACTTACTATGTGTTTGTCAATGTGCTAAGTACTTTAGATACCATTGTGTCATTTGATCACACCCGTACCACGGCAAGAAGTAGCAACCAGTAATCCCCATTTTTTAGATGAGAAATCAAGACACACATCGGAAATTTTCCCCAGGTCATACAGCTAGAAAGAGGCAGAGCCAAGAGTCACACCCAGTCTCACTTTGGAGCCCAAACCCTCAACCATTAGTTACAATATACTAGCTCCCAAAATAAGATAGCTATATTGCTAACAGGTAGATTGGTAGAAAATTAGATCAACCAACACATTCACATGTATATATTTACTTTGTGTATTTGTATATAAGGAGCCCTGGTGGCACAGTGAGTTTGAACCCACGTGCCATTCTGTGGCAGAAAAACATGTGACCGTCTGCTTTGGTAAATATTTACAGCCTTGGAAACCCTATGAGGTAGTTCTAGTGTGCCCTACAGGGTATGCCCTACAGGGTACTAAGAGTCAGAATTGACTCAGTGGCAATGGGTTTGGGTTTTTTATTTGGTTTGTTTTGTTTTTGTTGTATCCTTTTTGTTGTTATAGTTGTTATAGGGTCTTATACTACCATGTTGCTTTAAATTTAATAATAATATTGTGGGATTTTTGCTATATGATTATCTCTAAGATTGTTTCCTACCACCTTATTTCTGAAAATGGCACATGAGAGCTGTACAAGCCTTTGATTTGATTTTAAAACAGCTTTCAACATTTTAGATAGTGAAGCACATCCAGAACTTTAGAAGACTTTTTTTTAACTTTATTTGTTTCCTGTTTAGGTTTTGTTTCCTTTCTCCTAAACCTCTAGGAAATTCAGAATGACCTAATTATGGCTGTCCTTGTCATGAAATGCATATCAAAGGCTGCTCACTAAGGATGCTTAGGTACTTAGTGACAGAGAGTCCTAATTGTCAGGGTTTAATTCAGGAAACTCTGAAGATAGAACTGAGTTCTGTATTCCTCCTTTATAAAAGGTGATCAGTTTCAACTGCGTTTTTCCAGTTCCTTTTGAGCATGACCCGTATCTCCTTTGATCTCCTCAGAGTTCTGATTTATTAGACCAATACGGAACCCTCTCTGGTTTATAAAATCTACTTAATGTTTTTCTGCTTTGGTTTTGTTCCTTATTTTGTTATGTTGTATAAGCTAAAAAAAATCTAATCTCTAATTGTTGTTGTTGTGTTGTTGTTATGTGCCGTGGAGTCGGAACCGACTCATAGCGACCCTGTACAGGGTTTCCGAGGGTGTAAATCTTTACGGGAGTAGAAAGCCTCATCTTTCTCCCGCGGAGCAGCTGGTAGTTTCGAACTGCTGATAGTTAATGTTATTTTCCAGAATATATTCACTTTCCAATATATTTGGGCACAATCTTCATAGATGTCTAAATAACTCCCATTTTGTTTCTTTAAAGAAAGAAAAGAAGAAATTCCTTCTGCCTGGCTTTTGAAAGTGGTAAAATTGGAATAGAGAATTCTTTAGTGTGTATATAATGCCTTATGACCACCTTTAGGACCTTGATTTTTAATCAAGTATCTTTAATCACAGTATCTTCTTACCAGTAAAACTCCAACTTCTTGGCTTTGGATTCCTCTCTACTGACCTCAGATCTTGTCCTGTCGTAGTGAGTTGTTTCTCTTTGGCTCTCTAGGGATCGCCTGCTCCCACAGTGGATTCCATTATTAGCTGAGTGTCCTGCCATTACCCGAATGTATGAAGAGAGCGCCCTCCTGCGAGACCACAGGACTGTCAACTCCCTCATCCGCATTCTGCAGACTATTCAGGACTTTACCATCATCCTAGAAGGATCCCTTATCAAAGGAGTGGATGTGAATCCAATTGGCTAGAAAACTCTCAGTCTAGACCCCTTGCTTCTGAACTTTCCCCATTAAACAAGTCCATAAGGACCGATTTGATTTGGACTTGTCTGATGCAGTCGTGAGCCACTGCAGGGGGAAGCCTGCCATATCCCCCAATTTGAACAATCCTTATGCTACAGATAAGGCAAATGCTGTATTGTAGTTCATTTGAACCTGGAATTTAGTATAAAATAGAGTATTTTCATGTGTTAGATGTGTGTAAATATACTATCTTTAAGAAATTATATTACTCGAATAAGATACTTTTCTTAGATTGGCTATTACTGTGACTTAATAAGTAGTTTAAAAACATTGGGGGTTGGGGGAGAAGAGTGGTGCTAGTCAGGAAGAAGCCGGGAAACATGTAAATATAGGGCACCCCAGTTGGGCTTTGTTTTCCTCACTGTATCACAAAGGACCCCCAGAATGCATTGTTCTGTTATAGCCATTCATCCTGGTGTCCAGTCCTTTGTATTGTGAATGTAAACTGCTTTACTTACTAGATGACAGAGTCCTCCTTTTTATCTTTTAAGTTACAAACTGTTTCATACACTTGAATTGTGAGTCACTTTTCCAGTCTTTTGGAACATTTTTTTTTTTTAAGTCAGCACAAGGTGAATATGTAATTCAAATAGTTTCAATGCTGGACACCAGTTTGGCTGCTCTGGAAAGAGAACACACAAAACCTGAGAAATGTGTTAAATTGTGGGATTCTAACTTCTCTCTGCTTTGGAAAGATTAGCCTAGACTAACTTCATTCTTGACATTTTTATTCCTGTTATTTGAGGTATTTTGGGAAGATGTGAATTTCAAAGTGTTGGCCTCATAATCATAAGAACTGCAAACAATCCTGAGATTCTGTGCTTTTAATTTGACCAGCTAAACTCTGCAGTGGTGCTGTACCTCTTAAAGATAAACACAAGTCCCATCTTTGTGGGGTCCCGGTCACCCTTTCCTCCTCTCTCCCCAGGCCCATCCCCCCTCTCAGGAACTGGAGGAATGTTTAAGAAGGAAGGCTCTGTGTGGCTTGGAATGTTTCTGTGAAAGTATATGTTGACCATGATAATGCAAATAACAGGAGGAAAGAATGGGCTCTTTCTGGGTCTTTCTAGGGGAGCTTCATGTTTCTTTGTAAGGAGTAGTAATGTAAAACAACTGGCCCAGAGAAATTAAAAGCCACTTCAGCACAGACTGGCAAAATGAAAGCAAAGCAAGAAGCAACAATTTTGAAACACCAAAAGTTGTGAGTAACTTTCTAGTTTGGTATTCTTTTTAGGAAAATGAAATAAATGTGGTATTAGCTAATAACTTAAGTCTTCAACTTATAGTAGGCCCTGCAACTCTAATTAGACATTTGCACATTTTAGCAGTGAAATTGCCTCAGCAGCGCTCCCGGTTTTATTCCCAGTGTGGCTGAAAAGCAAAGACATGGCCTCTAGGGATCCTTGTACAATCTGAGGGTGCTGGGCCAACAATTCTGGTGCCCTTATTTCCTGGAGGAAGAACTAATGAAACAAGTGCCTCCCTCCTTTTTTCAAATACTACATTCATTCAGGGCAGCCAGGGAACAGCCCCCTTTGAACATAATGTGACTTTGTACTAGAGAAGAGAAAGAGGAACTGAGGCTGCATTAGGAATCCTTAGGAAGGGTTTAAGAAGATGGTCCTGGGTAGACCCAAGATTTGTTTACCTGAGTCCACAGTATGTGGTTATCTGGTGGTAAAGGAGACCTCCAGAGCCTGTTTTATAACAGATTACTACTGTGTTTCAGTGATCAGACACAATCCTTTACAGATTTAACCACAACCCAGAGTTTTGTTCTTACTATCTTTTTCTTTAAAACCATGCTTCTGGCACACTGAGTAATCAGTGAGAATGATTTACACCAGGATGCTAGAACTGACACAGGTCCACCCTTCTCATTTTATACATGGAAAGACTTAAAGAATAAGTGAGTTTTAAGTACTTCCCCTTACCCACAGCTGGTCAGTGACACTTCACAAAGTCTAGAATGCATATTTTTGTTTTTTATTACATTGGGCTGCATGAGACCAGACCTTTAAGGTATTCTTGCTAATATTCATCCACTTCTACACATGCTAAGCCAGGTATCCAGGTAGGAAATAAGGGTTAGTATACATTTTAACAAATTGTTCTCAAATGATTGAGAATTAACATCTGTTGTTAAATCTAGAAACAGAGTTGGAGCAGACCCCAAAAAAAGTTAAACCTAAAATTTCATCTTAACTTTATGTAGTATAACAGTGAAATGACAGATATTTTTAAATAAACATACTAAATTTAGCACATCCTCAGTGTTGGGTTTTTCTTAATTACCTGGGGAACCAATGATATGACCAGTTCTCTGAACATGGGGGAGACTCCTTGTGAGCTGCCTGAATGAATGGTCGACAGCCCACGCTTACTTGAATATTAATTACCAGTAGTGATAAATCTTGGCCTTTCAGAATACATTTAATATTCAGAAATAACATAAACTCCGTAAGGTCCAAATCTGATCAATGAAAAGGATGCTTACCTGAGCTAAGGAGCGTGAGGTCACATATCAAGAAACAAAGACAGTTCTTAAGTGGCTTTAACTGTTTCTGAGCCAGTACGAAAATATTTTGAGCTGAGCAGTAGCAGAATCCTTAAAATAAATGTACATTCATAGCCTTTCAAGGTGGCTTCTAGAAGGACCATGCCCACTTAAAAGAAGTCTTTCTTGTTATGTTAATATTAAAATTAGTTTATTGCTTTAGGATCACAACATAAAAGTTAAAGTGAGTAAAAATTCACTTTTAGCTGACTTCTTTTTAAAAAAAAAAAATCTCAACTGTAAATGCCTGGGACCATAATTAGTATTTTCACATAAAATAATAACTTGAAAATTCATTTTTAAAATTAAATTGCCAAAAATATTTTCTAAGTATTCAGATATCCCAAGTCCCTAATTTCAACCATTATGACACAGTGGCATTATACTGATGCTGGAATTACATGTGAGATCCTAAAGCAGTGTCCTGGACAGCAGTCATTAGCTGTTTAAAAATGACTGAGGCTCAATATTTATGAAGTAGCATAAAGTGGGGTTCTAAGTGGGAGGGAAAAGATACCAAGAAGAAAAGTAAAGCTTCCTACCCCTCTCCTCACTCTTCCCACTGCAGTGAGAATTTGATAATAGAAATGATCAAAAACTTACGAAAGTATGTAATTCCCTCTAAATTTCATTTTAAATGTTTACCTCATTTTTATACCTTTTCTTACCCTGTGGTACCTATTATAACATGGCTTTATTTATTTTTTTCTTAATTATTTCAGTGGACTTCTTTCACACTATGTGAATGATAATGGAGGGATAAGGAACTGTTGATGTTTCTTTTTTGTCAACAAGGAACTATTTATACCTGAATTAAGTGAATGTTCGAGGCTGACCATAAATGTCAGTTTGTGTGAACTGTATGTTGACACCCCTAAGATAATTTGGAAACATAAGATAACTGACAATGACTTCAGATTCATAGGGGAAATATTTATTTGACAGCATTGGAGTGTAGGTATTCATAATAAAAAATAGTCTTTCTGCTATGAATTAGAGTTTTCAGTAGATTATTTTCAGTTAGAGAACTGTGAGGATATCTCTGTGAGGTTTACAGAAACTCGTGTGTCCTTTTCATCAAGTTGAAGAGTAATCTGAACCTTAACTCTGTGTATTTCAGTATTAACACACCTTCATTGATTGAAAATGGAGTCTTGAGTCCTTCTCTACTTTTATAAAGTGAATCTTATTCATAAATTATCTGTGTTTTTGAAAGTCCCTGCTTCTTATATAGTATTTGCTGCATTATTATTTACTATAAATAGGAGACAGAAAAGAATAAACTACTAGGTTCCTTATTCCTGTTAAAGTACACTTATAAATATCTTGGGGGAAAAAACTGAATTCCAAGCTTTCTATAGAAATTTCTGATTGTAATGTCATCAGAAGAATCCATGGAGAACTGCATCCTCCCAGATCTTGTTAGAGCTTAGTTGCCATCTCAAGGACAAAATAAAGATTGGCTTTGTAAAGATAATACATTGAGCTATAATGCCAAAATGAGAAAAGTTCATCGAACCAAATTTCTCCCTATTTTAAGGGGTCCAGGGTGTCCTTGGTTTGTTCAGGAGAGAATCATGCTTGATACAATTACTTTAATGTGCGTGAATTCAGTCTTTACTCCCAGCACCAATCTTGTTGACAGTAGAGAGGTATACTAAAGAGTTTCTGTTGTCAGTCAAATAAGGGTGTGAAACAGAAAGTCTTGTGTTACATTTCAACCATATATAAATGTATCCTGTGTATCTTTTGGGGGGAAAAAGCATTTCTGCATTTAAATTATATTGTTTTCCTTTTTATTGTTAACAAAATGCATCAGAACTGGATTCCCCCCCACCCCATTTGAATATAAGTTTTAAAGAGTATTGTGATATCAAGCACTTTAACATACATATCATAGAAACTGACGTGGGTTTTTCAGGTTTTGGAGTACATTTAAATATGACTTTTCATGCTTTGTTCTTTACAAATAAAACTGTGGGATTGATACTTTGTTTTGCTTCATTATTGTAGAATCTTAATAGTAAGTGGTTCATAATTCAAGTGAATTGAAGCTGGCTGTTGCATACCACAGGAGCCAGGAGCTGCAGAAGCCTGCCAACAAGAGCATCAGACCAAACCCACTGCCATGGTGACCCATGTGTCACGGAGTAGAACGTCTCCGTAGAGTTTTCTTGGCCATCATCATTATGGACGCATACAGCTAGACCTATCTTCTGAGGTGCACTGGGTAGGTTTGACCCACTAAACTTCCAGTTAGTATCAAGTGCAAACTGCACCACCCCAGGACCAAAATGAAGCATACTAGAATTAAAAAAAGAAGTCCCTTGCTTTTCTAGGGCCTCTCTAGAACATTCTGTTAATAAAGGTTAGCACTGTACTAGTTGACAGAGGAAAATCCTTACAGGGTCTACTTTTCATTTTTGCAGTGCAGACAATAAAGGGTCTAGATTCCAAGGAGCATCCTGACTGTGCTTTTCCAAGACAGATTTGTTTGTTCTTTTGGCAGTCCATGGTACTTTAAATATTCTTCACCAGCACTATAATTCAAATGCACAGATTCTTCCTCCATTTTCTGTCTTCATTGTCCAACTTTCATATGCATGTTGTTGTTGTTGTTGTTAAGTGCCGTCGAGTCGGTTCCGACCCATAGCGACCCTATATGCATAGGAGGTGATTAAAAACACCATGGTTTGGACACCTAAGGGCAACAAAAATTTTGGTCATCTTGAATTTGAAATGTTGATTACATATTCAAATGAAAATGGGGAATGGGGTACTAAAAGGCTGAGTCTTGGTTTTAGAAGCAACATCAGCACATCATATATAAACCTGGGTGTATAAGGAATGACACTGTATAAGAACACAAAGGGACTTTTATTACTAAATAATCTCCCAAAGCATTCATTTTAATGGGATAATATCAAACTTTAAATTTTTTCCCCCCAATTTGATGGGTAAAAAAGGCATTGAAGTTCTTATTTATATGTCTCTGATAATGAGATTGGCTGTATTCTGATAAAATTATTGAGGACCCAAACCATCCACACGCAGTAAGTTCATTGTCCACATTCAAAAGACTACCATCCCACTATCTTCATAAGGTTACTAGTTTAGTAAACTCTTTCCCAGGAAATCAAAAGCTGCAAATACTCTTACTGTTCATTCCAGGTACTTCAGGAAACATCCATCAACTCTCCAATGAAAGCATCAAAGGGCAGTTTATACTCCATGACATTTGTCTGGCTGTGTCCGTTAATTTTTAACTATTATTATTAATCTTACTTACCCTTGACAAGCACCCCACTAAAAGATCTGCCTTAAACCAATCCTCAGAATCTCAAATACCCAAACTTGCCACCCCACCCCCAGATACTACAAAAACTCTGCTCGGTAATAATCTTCCTTTCTGTGCTAAACAATAAACAGACTGTTTGGGTAATTTAGGAATACAACATTCCACATTACTCATCATTTATATTTCCTTTTTAAATTATTTTAGTATTCTTGGCCAATTTCATATTTAGTGGCATGTTTGTTTTTATTTGTAGTTCAAAAACTATTTTCAGGTTATGAACCCTTTGTCCGCACTATTTGTTGTTGTTATGTGCCGTCAAGTGTCGAGTTGGTTCTGACTTATAGAGACCCTGTATAAGATTTCCAAGGAGCAACTGGTGAGCTTGAACCTTTCAATTAGCAGTCCAGTGCCTATCCTACAGTGCTACTCCTGGATTCCTTGTCTACACTATATGATGTAAATATTTTTTCACTTAACCTTTTAATTTTTGGTGTTTGAACTGCACAGAAATCTTCAGTATTCAATTCTTCCTGTAGTGTAGTGGTTAAGAAAACTGCTGAAGGTGCTATACTCCTTAGGTTCAAATCTCTCCGGTTTACTAGCTGATAGCCCTTGGGTTTGTATTACAGTTTAAATTCTTAGCAGTGGGTTTGCGGACAGTGGGAGCCATAACTCCATTTTGAGTCGACACAAATTCACTCTCCATTCTGACCATT